ACATTGTTTTTTTGCATTTATTGCCTTATGTTGGATGACAAATTTCAAGAAAGTGCAATTTTGGTTCAGGGTTGGGCATTAATGCACAGTACTTGGATAAATGATCTGTCGCCCAGTTCAAATTTTCTGCAATTCTACATGACTTGTTGCTCTGTCTAAACTTGGAACACCATTGAACATGCACATCATTTACATGGGACAACTTGCCGCCACCAAGTTTGGATGTCCAAGAGGAATTGCAGCTCTGCGTGAAGTTCGCAAGAAAATTGTTGGAAATATTTTGAAGGGATAATTATTCAAGATTTTGATTTATGTAGAACGTGTAAAATTTGGGGAGGAAAAAAAGCTGACTTCGACCGTCAGGTTTTGATAGAACAGGCAGTTCCAGTGTGTCCAAGGTTGAGTCTATTCAATGAAAATGTACCATGACACATACAAGCACGAAACTGTCCATGAAATACTTAAAGGGGAACAGATACTATAAATAGGGGCAAGATGGCCACAGCAATTAATATGCTAATCCGAACCAAGCCACTCGCATGGTGTGAGCTCCGGGAATTGTGCCATTTACGACGTTAGAGATCAAGCTGTGATTCCAAATACATTTCTACAGGGGCATGAATATGTACACTAGCGATTACACTGTCTAGTTGAGATTGTGTGAAACCACTGAAAATGAGTGATCTTGATTTCAGTTCACATCCTTTATTGACAAACAGAAGCTCACATCCTCCGAAAGATGCAATTCATTGCTAAAGGTTTCAGTAGCTTTCTCAAGATAAGCCATTGAGGGCGCTGTCCACACTGTATAAAGGTTGCTCAATTACCCCCTATGTGAAACTCTTAATATTAACAAATTGATATTTATTTTGTATTTATATGACCAAAATACCAGCATTGTATATTCAATTAGATTTTTTGGTACACGCGTTAATAAAAATATTTCAATATACTAAATGCAGTAGATATTGGGATAGCCATCTTGAACTACTGCATCCATACGCTAAAACTGATTTTAAATTTGGTAGAAGTTTTTAGTCCAGATGAGTTTCGACACGTACTGGGTACATGTGTCATTACTGTGACGGCACTGTTTTCCCCCACAGAAACCTCTCCACAAAAGAAAAGAAAGAAAACCCAACTTAGCCCTTTGAAGCAAAAACTGACAATGCCATCGGATGAACCAGAAATGCCATCTGATCTTCCTGAATCAAATAGCTTGCAGGTAAGTAGTCTGACTGTATGATCTGCTATTCTTGTACTTGCTTTGAAATGAAGTGTGGTAAAACTGGCAACAGAAGTTATTTATACAACATAATTACAACACATCAATGGTAGTGGTGGTTGCTCCTTAAAACCATGATCGATGGGTTGAATGTTCAAACTCTGGGTTGACTTGATGAAAGACCAAAGCTACACACAAATTCACTCATGGAGGTGACTATGAACAGGCAATAGGTGCTTGTTGATTGGCACTGGGATACAAGTGAAATTTGCCCAAAAATTGTTTAAAAACTTTTAAACATTTAAATTAATTTTGAGAGCTTTTAGAAAACAAAATTACATTGAAATCAGTGATTACAAAAACACAAGATGCAACATTTGTTGTGAGAAAAGCAAATTTCCATAAAATGAGTGTTGTCACTGTAGAATTTAGAAAAAACATTGTAAAATGATTTTAATTGGCTCTTATGAAAGCTGTTAACTTTTACAATACTAGTTTTACCTTTGAAGGTGTCTTAATTGCATCTCTAAAAAATCATGCAGCTAAATCAACGGCAATGGATCATATTTCAACTTAGATAATGAAATTTACGTCCACTTTGAGATTAATGATGTCTGAAATTGTTCATAGTACCACATGACACCCAACTCGGTGAAGTTGCTATTTACATATCACTGTACGTAGCTCAGCACATGACAGGCAACTGGTGAAAACATTGCAACATCGTCCTCTAGGGATGGTATTTGCTGGCCAGTTGTGTTTGGAAATGATGGGATAAGATGTTGTGGTTTCTGAAATTATCATTCCACTACAGTAAAAAAAAACGGCACACTCGCCAATGTTTTATTCCACATACCGGTACTGATCAAAACGCATAAAATGACACAACATGGGGGGGGGGGGGTTATCATGCAATATTTGACGCTAGGATGTGGCAAATGTGAAAGATGTGCTGTTAAGTTTTGAATAAAAACTGTTGCCTTACAAATGCCATGAACTTTCTGTAAATCAAATTTTGAGTACTCTCACAGGCTAGGTACCAGACTACCATTTTACGGAGTGGCTTCTAATATTTTCTTCTGCGGTCATCAATGAAACTCGATACTAGAGACTTTAAGATTTACGTACGTAACAGGAATGTAACATGTTCTAATTCCGTTTGCATTGCGTTCTCGGGTGTCAGAAAACGATAAGTACAAGCACCCACAACGGGAACAGAACCATGTCAACCCGTCTCTCATTTGACAACTATAATACAACTATCCAATAAAATTTGTTACGTCATTTCACATCCGGAATCTGAATTAGTAGTTAGTTCCCAGACATTTGACAGAGCTCTTACTATTTCCATCCACACTGCTGAGGTTCCAGGCCTGTTTGCCCAAACCCTTTCAGCAGATCAATGTCATGCGTTACCATCCATTTAAATACATGTCTCTTCGTGGGAATGGCCATTTTGAAATGTTTAAGAATAATTCATTTAGTTCCGTTTAAAATATAGTAAGTGGTTAGTACACGTCGCCTTTTGAAAAAGTGAACATAAATGCCTGGCGTCGTATGCTTTATTTACATAACAAGCTGACCAGTTGTGTTCGTTTTTAGTGGGTATAAATATCAGCTAAAATGCATCCAATATTTCTTATTTCATCATAAATGTACAAAATCACTCTAATATAAAACATTTTATCAATGTCAGTGAAAATTAATCAAAATTGGCAGCAAGAAAAGCTCTCGGAAATCAACTACGAGTCAGTCGCCTTGATCACGTTCAAAACGACTGCCGTACGACCAGGCAACCGATGACGTCATTGGTTCGCGCAGAGGTCATGCACAAATCAGTGACGTATCCGTATCCGTTCTCAATATGCCCATCTTAATGTCTCTAGTGATTGGCTTAAACAAATCTAGCGTGCTGTAAATCTGAAATTTGGGATTTTGAGTATACTGACGATTAAGGACAACTGATGGTGACTAAAGTATGACAATCTCATTTCTTCACATTGCAATGAATTGTCTTGGTTAATGAGCAAAATTGTAGCAGCCATTCCAGGCATCAATAGAGCATTAAAACCAATGAAATGCTTGTCACATTCTCAGGCTAGAAAAGTATTGACTTGATAGCTTCCTTTCATCTTTTCTGCAGTACATGCAATCATTACCTATGCAGTCTCCTCCCATGCCTGTGCCAGTATCAAATTCAGCAAATGAAATTTCAAATCAAAAAGCAGATTCACCTCCAAAAATAACGCCACCTCAAGGTAAGTCTTTTTGTATCTTATTAAAACAACTTGATTACTCTTGCGCTGTTATTAGCCGTTGTATGATGGACCTGTGGATTTCCATTAGCAACTACAACAGGGTTTGTGGACCATTGATGACTGACTGGCAAAGGGATTGTGGAAGCTCAGCATAACGCATCATAAGACACTATTGAGGGCACTCTAATCATTGTGCTTGGCATGTGTCTATATCACCTGAACATTTAACTGCAGTCTGGGCAAATCCTCTATTTACTGCAATTTGCACATAACTCCATCGAACTTGTTATATAATCACACGAAGATTTAGGGGAGGGCCCCCCCCCCAATGACAAATTGACAAACCCAGCCCACCGGAGGTCTACTTCGGTCATGTCAATAGGAGCCCCCTTCCTCCACACCAATTTCTGGATCCACCAGTGATAATATTTCTAAGACCTCAAAGCTTTGTGAATAATCCGGGTGCAATATACCTTGCAAGATAATAAAGTATTTAAAGTAATTCAGCCAGTCCTTACATTACAGTTCCCATATTGAACATTGGCAATTTTTGTACTCCGGTGTGTAAAGCACACAATGAGTGTCTTTGCAGTTGGTATCTGTCTGTCTTTGTCAGTTTCACAATTTGCATTTAACTAAGAGTGTTGTTTTTATGTCGTAGCTTCAAAAGCAGCTGCGGCTAGTCATCTGTCATTACCTGCACAGCCGAGTAGACCAAGCAGCAAAGCATCTCCTATGCCAGTAAGACAACCAAGACAAGTAGCTACACCATTAACAATACCACAGCCGATACCTCCAGCAATGACATCGCCACTACCAGCATTACCAACATTGTTAGATTTATCACCACCTACTGTACCAATGCAAACTACAGAGCCTGCTCATAAAGTAAAGAAGGAGGCACATGCAGTGGG